GACGACGAACCAGTTACTGTATGTTACTTCAGAACTCAGAACGACACAATTATACAAACAGAATGAAAAATGCTTCATCGACGGTGTGACTTTGCGTTTCGCTTCGTGTTTCTCTTGAAAATCTAGCAAAATTGAGTCATTCGCATGAAAATATCTGGTTACGTCAGCGAAACCCGCTGATTTCCCCATTTTTCAAGCGCTGAATGGCGCAAAAACTGTGAAATCACGGCAACGAAATAGTGTTCGACGAGCGAACAAACCTCCTTGCACCGGCATTGGTGCACAGCTTCGGGACGGCCAAGTTCTCAAATCGTACTCTAGAGACCCTTACCTACCTCTGTGCGAAGTTTCAAGTCCTCCCTCTGAAGTGGCATACCCCGAAAATAAAAAGCATCCTACAGATTTCAGCTCCCGGACTACTACCCTCAGTAGCCATTACACACACCAACCAAGGAAGGGTTGCAGGTAGATACTGAAATTCCTCCTGACAGCTGTTTCGCCTTCATAAGGCTCATCAGAGAAGGTGATATTGAATAGGATGATATTAGGTGGAGATGGTCAGATTAACATGGGCACAAGATTACGGGCAAAGTGTGAGAATGAGAAGTTACAAGTCTCCAGCAACACAGTGCCAGAGGTTCAAAGAAAATGGCAGGTGAGAAATCCAATCACAAGCTGCTAAAGTTAATTTTCTAACCGCTAGGTGATAGTTTAAGAATTTTGGCGAGCCACCAAACAAAGTGAAAGAAAGTCATGTAGAGTAGAGTACTAAGCGTGCAGTGCAGCAAAAGTAAGTTACAAAGAGTGCACACACGCAAGAATGGACCGTAGTTACATGTACTTCACATTTGGGCAGTTCGCCAGCCAACCGCGCAGGCATGCAGAGACGCACCACATCGACTGTCCCCGCAGAGTCCCCTCTGGCGTACTCCAGAGCAACAGATCTCCGCTGGCCGTCACACCTTGCTGCGCACCGTATGCTGCCGGACCGACCGCTACCTTGCGCTGTCCCCAAAAAGTAGCAATTTCAAATGGTGAACGGGACTATTCGGCCAATAAAATGTAAAGAACTCTTCCTCTCCTCTCCTCCATGCGCTCTCACACCCGACCAACCGCTACCCTCGGTAGCCATTACACACACCAACAGCCAAACGAGGAAGGAGGAGAGGAGAGGAAGAGTTCTTTACATTTTATTGGACAGACTGCAATGGTGTGGAGGTTGTTACGCATTGACAGCTTGGCATCAAATGAGACCCCAGGAGTTTAAGTTTCGTAGTCTGCACAACTGGGATACCTCCACACTTTACAAGGTCCCGTGTTGAGGATCCTGATCTCCTGCTGAACATCAGGTGCTGGGATTTCTATGGCTCGAAACGCATGCGCCACAATCATTAGTTCGTAGTACGAGGTGGTACAGTGTAGTAACATCGGCGTACGTGCCCAGCTTGTGCCTTGTGTTAGGCACTGGTCGATATCACATACGTAAGGCCGTTTTACACTACCGGAGGCTTCTCGCGTCTCCGTCAAAGTGTGGAAACGCAACCGCAAAAACGCATCACCGAGGTACTACAGGTACATTACGCTTGCCGTGATCCTATAGAGCTGCGTCACTTGCATTGATTCTGTACTGAAAGAAGTACATGACATTTTGAAATCATGTACATACTACTAGATCAACTGTACATGACATGACTAGTCCACTGTACATGACATGAATAGTCCACTGTACATGTCATGACTAGTCCACTGTACATGTCATGACTAGTCCACTGTACATGTCATGACTAGTCCACTGTACATGTCATGACTAGTCCACTGTACATGACATGACTAGTCCACTGTACATGACATGACTAGTCCACTGTACATGACATGACTAGTCCACTGTACACGTCATGACTAGTCCACTGTACATGTCATGACTAGTCCACTGTACATGTCATGACTAGTCCACTGTACATGTCATGACTAGTCCACTGTACATGTCATGACTAGTCCACTGTACATGTCATGACTAGTCCACTGCACATATCATGACTGGTCCACTGTACATGTCATGACTAGTCCACTGCACATGTCATGACTAGTCCACTGTACATGTCATGACTAGTCCACTGTACATGTCATGACTAGTCCACTGTACATGTCATGACTAGTCCACTGTACATGTCATGACTAGTCCCCTGTACATGTCATGACTAGTCCACTGTACATGTCATGACTAGTCCACTGTACATGTCATGACTAGTCCCCTGTACATGTCATGACTAGTCCACTGTACATGTCATGACTAGTCCACTGTACATGTCATGACTAGTCCCCTGTACATGTCAGGACTAGTCCACTGCACATGTCATGACTGGTCCACTGTACATGTCATGACTAGTCCACTGCACATGTCATGACTAGTCCACTGTACATGTCATGACTAGTCCACTGTACATGTCATGACTAGTCCACTGTACATGTCATGACTAGTCCACTGTACATGTCATGACTAGTCCCCTGTACATGTCATGACTGGTCCACTGTACATGTCATGACTAGTCCACTGTACATGTCATGACTAGTCCACTGTACATGTCATGACTAGTCCACTGTACATGTCATGACTAGTCCACTGTACATTTCATGACTAGTCCACTGTACATGACATGACTAGTCCACTGAACATGACATGACTAGTCCACTGCACATGACATGACTAGTCCACTGTACATGTCATGACTAGTCCACTGTACATGTCATGACTAGTCCATTGTACATGTCATGACTAGTCCACTGTACATGTCATGACTAGTCCACTGTACATGTCATGACTAGTCCACTGCACATGTCATGACTAGTCCACTGCACATGTCATGGCTAGATCAACTGTACATGTCATGACTAGTCCACTGTACATGTCATGACTAGTCCACTGCACATGTCATGACTAGTCCACTGCACATGACATGACTAGTCCACTGTACATGTCATGACTAGTCCACTGCACATGTCATGACTAGTCCACTGCACATGTCATGACTAGTCCACTGCACATGTCATGACTAGTCCACTGCACATGTCATGACTAGTCCACAGCACATGACATGACTAGTCCACTGCACATGTCATGACTAGTCCACTGCACATGTCATGACTAGTCCACTGTACATGACATGACTAGTCCACTGTACATGACATGACTAGTCCACTGCACATGTCATGACTAGTCCACTGCACATGTCATGACTAGTCCACTGCACATGTCATGACTAGTCCACTGCACATGTCATGACTAGTCCACTGCACATGTCATGACTAGTCCACTGCACATGTCATGACTAGTCCACTGCACATGTCATGACTAGTCCACTGCACATGACATGACTAGTTCACTGCACATGTCATGACTAGTCCACTGCACATGTCATGACTAATCCACTGTACATGACATGACTAGTTCACTGCACATGTCATGACTAGTCCACTGCACATGTCATGACTAGTCCACTGTACATGTCATGACTAGTCCACTGTACATGTCATGACTAGTCCACTGTACATGTCATGACTGGTCCACTGCACATGACGGTATGTACACGCACGCTACAAAAAGCCCTTGGCTTTGGTCTTTACTTTTCACCAAAATGCACTGAATCTGTACAATGGAGAAGGAGAACAAGCGACCATGCATCAAGGAGATTCAGATGGCTGTTGCGCCTCGAGTAGGAAGGGTGTTCCTTCACCGAAAGCCAGTTTGGCATGAACGTCCGACTCGCTTGCGGCGAAGTCCTTTTCAACCAACTACATGTACTTGTATGGAGTTTTCAGTATAGACACGCAATGCTGTGATATTAAACACAGGGTGACACAACACAGGGCTGGGGAGATCCAAACGAAATGCATTCGGGCCCACTTGTTCAGTGATCCTGTAAGGGCAAAACTACTGTCTTTTGGTTGTAGTTTAGGAGAGGGTTAGATACGACATTCGGGGGTCACCAGGGAACCCTTGTAAACCAACACCAAGTCATTCATTGTGAAATTTCCAGACTGTCGCCCTCTGTCTGCATATTATATTACATAGCTTGACAGGCCTGCGCTGCAACCAGTGCATCCTTTGCCATCTTTAGAGCATATTGCTTCCTCCAATTATTCTCCCCCCCCCCCCCCACCCCACACGAGAAGACCTGGGGTGACCTGTCAAGAAAATCAGAATGAAATGTTCCTTGCAACTCTTAGTTGATTTTGTGCAAATTATTTTGTGAAGGGGTGATTGGCCCACCGTTTTTGCATTGTTAAAAAATCACAGGTCTGCTCTGCACGACAGAGAGAGAGGCGCAGCGAGCAGACTGGGAATTCATGGGTTTCAGGCCGGGGTGGAAAAGGTTAACACTAGCTTGACTGATACCTATACTAATATTGTACAAGTAAAGGGAAATGACAACTCTAGTGCGTCTTTACTAGAACACCTTTGTCAGATCCGTTCGTTGCGTGTGTGTGTTTTTGTTTTTTTGTCTTTTTTCTCCTCTCCCTCAGCCATTCTTTTCTCTAATATTATCGTTTTACTATTTTCTGCGAGGTCACGGTTATTTTTTTAAGCAGGGGAGGTATGTTAGGTACCTCCCCTTGTACAAACTACCTTTCCCAAGCTGGCCTGAATGCATCCCGTATCAACTCCAATGCACCTTTTGGTCCGCTGGCCTGAGTAGCTACTTGCGCGCCCATATTTTCCATAGCTAAAAAATATGGCCATCTCCCTTAATAAATGTCGTTCCACCTACCCGTACCCACCGTCCGTTGTGTCTTGGGAGTATCACCCTTTCCATACTCAGCAATTTTGAAAACAGATAAAGAACAAAAAGCAACCAACTTCATGACAAATACCGCCGAAGTCGGAGCTTCTAAGTTAGATAAAGAACAAGAACTAATAAAAGAAGAATGTCAAAAGACATTGATGCTAGAGAAGGACTTGTTTCAAACAGTTGAAGATAAACTTTGACTTCAAGGCAACTTACGAACACATTTGTCAATATTCCACCACAGACTGCCTGCCGCATGGTTGCAAAACGGGGTCCCATAATCTATAGTCCTGTGACCTGGTTTGCAAAGAACTGAGCCATCACTATTAACCTTAACATACCGATTTGCAATATTTCCAGCAGGTTTGCAATCTGAGAAAAACACATACATCATGATAAGAGTACAATGAACCATTTAAAACAAAATGTAATGCAAAATGTAACGCACAGTGTATGGGGGTCGCGGTGGTGTTAAGGCCGATTCATACTTCATTTCGCGTATGAGAAAGCCATCGCGGGACAGTCGCACGATGACTTTACCGTACACGAGATAGTTGGGCTCAGATCAACTTTTTTCGCGACGCGATGCGTTTCCCGTCACCCCCGAAACGAATTATGTATCGGTCTTTACAAGATCATGCAGTTGGGGTTTGTACAGTGCGTTTTAATAAGACTAGCATTCAGGTTTTTGCTTTGGGAAGTATGAAGATAAGGGGAATCTGGAGAACAGAGTATATAGAAGAGCTTAATAGGGCACGGAAAGTGTTCTGTAAAAAGTTGGAAAAGATTTCACAAGACGTTAAGGAGTTTTTCTTATTATTATTTGTTTTACATCGGAAGTTCAACAGTGCAGCTGCACAAAAATAAACAAAAAATTCGACGAGGAGACAATAATTTTAATATGGCAATAAGTGGGACGAGCTGAAGCGACATGTGGACTACTTTATTAACAATGTAAGCGATGGAGACGATGCAAGAAACAACCTAAAGGGTAAGGAAAAATACATGTAAGAAGAAAAAGGGCAATGGAAAAAAGATGATTCGAACAAGTTTTCGTACAACACTCTTCAGGAATCACCGTTGTACTAAAGAACAAAATGAGAACAAAGGAAATAATATAGCAATCAAGGTAGGGTGACACGTAACAATGACAGCACTGGAATTTTGTGCCAGTCTTCACAACAATGCGTGCGTTCACGGTGCGGAAGGACGTCCTACCAACCCTCCACCTCAGTCATGTTATCTACAACTTCGAATGCCGACATTGTGCTAGTCGGTATGTTGGTAGGACTGTTCAGCACCTGAACGCACGTATCAAACAACACACTCCACTTCACATCCTTCCACCCAGTGCGCAATCTGAGAGGCCCAAACGCGGGAGGCCTAGGAAAAACCCATCACTTAGACGGCAGGATAGTTCCCTGCCGCTGTCTGCCGCTCCCCCTCTGACATCTGTGTTGGACGGGCTTGAGCTTGGCAGCTCTTTGGAGGTGCGTGCGGAACCGCCATTGGTGCAGCCCTCGGGTGTGCCTAAGTCTGTGCCTCTGGGTGCTTTGCATGGGGCTGTGCCTCGAGTGGTGACAGCACCTCTGCCTCCCCCTGACCCTCCTCCTTCGAGGTCTGTGTTGGTGGGGAGCACCAGCGGTGGTCGATTTGTCCCACCGGAACCAGAGCTGGATTCAACAGAAAGACCAACAACCATGTCTGCAACAACAACACCAGCTTCACATCCAACAACAACACCAGGTTCACATCCAACAACAACAACAACTAATCCACAAAACAAAGCAGCAAATGACAGACCACGGAAATCTACAGCAGATTATAACCGGACCTATGAATTCACGGTAAAAATACAAAGGAAACAATCGGAAAGGACGACGACTGACGTGAAGGCAACGGCATTCACGGTTGGCGTGGGTGGTGAAGGTGAGACGCAGGACGATGCAAGTGAGGAGGAGAGTCAAACCGCGGTGGATGACGGAGCAGGTTCTGATTCGGACAGTGAGGGAGAAGGTGAGCTGAGTGAGGGTGAGAGTGAGTGTGAGGGTGTGCGCGTGAGTCGAGATTGTGTGCGTCCGTCTCGTAATAACAAGTCTTCAGTATACAATCATTTGGTTTCTAGTACTGACTGTTGTCGTACTTATTCTGATTCCTGTTTTTTTGTTTTGTGCCGTGCTCGTCATGGTTATCTTTTGCAGTTACAAGTTTTGGAAGCTGTTTGTCAGCGCATTCATAAGCCGAATTTGTGTGTCCAGAACGATAGTGTTATTACCCTAAAATTGTTCAAATAATGTTCTGTTGTGTAGTGTGGCAACGTTATTGCCACTTGTGCCTAAATGTGTTTTGTCACCTTCTTGTTTATTATTGTTATTATTATCATTCGTTCTCACTTTTTTGTTGTTGTTGCTGATACACACTTGTCACGCTTAGTTCTTACTTGTATACCCTTGTTTTCTGCACACTTTTGTGAGAAATCGCACCTCGATATTCCAGTGCTGTCATTGTTACGTGTCACCCTACCTTGATTGCTATATTATTTCCTTTGTTCTCATTTTGTTCTTTAGTACAACGGTGATTCCTGAAGAGTGTTGTACGAAAACTTGTTCGAATCATCTTTTTTCCATTGCCCTTTTTCTTCTTACATGTATTTTTCCTTACCCTTTAGGTTGTTTCTTGCATCGTCTCCATCGCTTACATTGTTAATAAAGTAGTCCACATGTCGCTTCAGCTCGTCCTACTTATTGCCATATTATAATAATAAACAGTGTATAATATACATCAGTGTAAATGTTCAAATGTTTAGAAAAAAGGGGGATGAGTGGTGAACATAAAGAGAAAAGAAGAAAAACGTATGTGGAATGAACCTGGGCAATATATGAGCCCCGGCCAGCGAAAACCAGCACTTGTGTACTTGATATCAATCATCAAAATGTGACGTCAAAGTTTGTGATGCGCAGTGAGCTGGCTTTTGAAGATTCTTTTTCGATCGAGTGGGTGTCTTTGTTGTCAAAGGAGTTTCAAGTGTCTTCAAATGTTTCTGGTCAATTGATTTTAGCGCTAGGTGAGAGCTCGTCACACGGAGGTTGAGTTTAGACACAGCGATGGCGACAGGTGTCGCGACAAAGGCTTAGGTCCAGAGTTGTCAGCGTGAGACTCCCTGTACGAAGCGGCGCTGAAAGTTAGTTCGCGATCGGAATTATTTCTTTGGTGGCGATCTCGCTGAGTTTGTCCAGCAGTGGCGAGTCTGATATGCATAGCAACGAAGAGCCCTCATAAAATCGACACTGGATACTGGTGGCGACGATAGTCAGTGCTGGAGTAATAGCGACTGCAAGGAGAAGCTGAATGTCGACCCGCTGAGCGATCCGTATTTCTACATCGACAACAATGATGTTGCAGACGCGGATGGAGGGCTTCTCACGGTGCAAAACAGAGACTGCAAGCGTAGTATTATCAGTACTCTACCTTGCCAGACGATGCCAAGCTGGCTGCTGCCTGTGCTGAGAAAGGGGATCCCTAAAAACTCAAACCAGCCGAACGCTTTGGGGCAACATCTTCACGTGCTACAAAACGCGAGTATTCGCTCATATCATTGAAATACAATTATGCTGAAATCATGGTGTGAGTGAAAGTGTGCAAGGGAGTGGATGTCAGTGGTATTGGTCAGTACATCTATCAGTATGGCAAGCTTTCAGACAACGCTCAAACTGCCAGCGCAGAGGTCCCTGAACACAATTTGGAAGGCCAGCCACCAATCATCGTTTTTCACTCTGGTGTTGTAAGGAAGGTAGTAATGTATACGGAATATCGTCACACTTCTGAACTACTCATGCCTGCAGCACCAAGAGGGCAAGCCTGACTTGCATTCTATTTACTTACATGTACCTGTTCCATATCACAATCAGAAACTGTAGGATCAACTTGCATGGAGTCACTAGGCATGGATGCTGCGCCAACTGTACTGAATCTTGACCTGTGTGACTCCAAACTCTATTTTCCATGCTTTCGCTTATCAGATTGTCACCAAACTTGATAACTTGAATGATTAAGAGTGTAGAAACAATTTCGAGGGAAAAAATAATTTTTGAAAAAATTACACATGTTCAGGTTTCTGCTGGCTGGGGCTCATATACATGTAGCTGGTGAGAGACTAAACGTTGCCAACGTTGTAAAACAAAATTGCACGATATCGTTCAAACCAAACTGGATCATCCAATAAGTGCTTAAAACCACGATCGAACTGAGAGGTAAACAAAGAGGATTTCAAGTCATTAGGTAGAGCATTAAAAAACAGAGCAGCACGAAGCACAAAGGATTTTTGACCGAGTGTTGTTCTGCATTTTAACCCTTTGTCCTTTCGCCCATACTTGAACCGTATACCTGTGTACGGTTCAACCCATGCATGTTCAAAGCGACCTGGAAGCTACGCGGATCACCCGATCCACATGAAAATTCACGTGCACACAGCCTATGCTATGTAGACGATGATACACGGGTCGCTGGGGCTAGTTGCCATTTGAAAAATTTCAGGAAATCAAAGTCAAAGTTTGCTTGCGCCGTGACTTCCGACATGGCAGCACGCAGGTCGCTTGATGCAGATGAAGCGCTTGTTTGAGGATAGCTGGAGTGACCCAAGCGACAATCCTATGTCCTCTGATGAAGAGAACGAACTGGACGAAGCCTTAGTAGAAGGTGTTGATTCTGATTTAGATGACGACGCGGATTATGATGTCGTAACCGTCGACCCAACTGTCGGACATGTCGACCGCTCCGATTTGAGCGCAGGATCGGCAGAACAGCACTCGCGTGGTGAAGAGAGTGTACCACCGCCGTGTCTTACCCGTCGTGGAGCAGCAGGGTCAGCTAGAATGCCGCAGCACGTGGAGCGGGAGCGTAGTCCGATCCCAGAGAGGTCCAGATCTCCGTCACCTGCGCGCCGTCAAACTCATGGTCGACAGCCGCGCAGAGCGAGGAGAGGAGCCGCACGGGGCCGCAATGTCGAGCACGTCGCCACTGGCACTCCTCTGGCTAATGCTCCGTGTTTGCCCAACATGCCAGAGGTGCTACTCCAGGTCATACTGGTACAAATTGCACATCATTATACATAGGAAAGAACTTGAACTTTGAATTTTGCCGATTTTTGCCAAAAAATCATTTTTGATACTCTTGTTTAGCCACGCCTATCTGAGGAATTCAACCCAAACTGCATTTTTAGTTCACAATTATCATAAGCTTTCAGGAAACCATAAAGTGTACATACAAAATATCAGCTGCTTGGGAATGGTGAGTGGATTTGTTGAAGCAGGTACCCCTCACATACATTTTGGGCAAAAGGGTTAAATAAGGGAAATCATGTGTGTCGCGATTAC